GTTCTCTTAAAACTACACTGTGAAATTCAAAAAATTTTCTTTGCCATCTGAGTATGCTGTACATAATGATCAGACGACCCATTTGACCTGCGTCTCGCACCGTCGAGAAATATACGATTTAATTATTTAACGAATACAGATGTGCGCAATGGTTGCGTGGACTGATGGCTGCCATGGGTTCAACTTCTGTCAAAAGCTGCCTCTTGATCTGCGATGACGCGCCATGCCACACGAATCTGGTACGCGTATTCCAAGAAGAGTCATGCCGTTTGGGCAACCTCCTGCGCTTTGCTCCATATTCTCTATCGCCGAACCCAGTTGAGGACATTTGGAACATCATGAAAGCATATGTGAAGCAAGCTATGAGGCAGAGCTATTGCGAGCTGCTTCAAGTAGATCCTGAGGGTGTACTCTGCTAGACCGAATAGTGAATGTATTTCCTGGAGCGAATTGTGTCAGGCACGAGTCTGTATGACGTCTCAGCATTGCCAGCATATGATAGATCATTTGAGGAAAAATTACGCTCACGCAGTGCATTGTGCTGATTTGTAAATTCCTCCTATTTTGTTGACAGCTAGATAATTTAAACTGGTGTTGTCACTGCTATGCAACGCAAGTCATTGCTTCGACATTCAAGTATACATAATAGTGTTGTCGCAGAGAATTCTCGCAGCTTTCCGCGTTAGACGTTGGGACACAGCTAGAGGGTATCTGGATATTTCCTAGCATTCAAGACTACGGTGCTGGTCATGGTGTAATCTCGTGTTGTTGCGTACCTGGGTAGTCAGTGGAGGGGGAATGGCATCTAGTTGGTATTGGGAAGAGGACTACTGTGCGCAGAAAAGATGGGGACATTCTATTGATTCTTAGGTTAGAACTTACTGCGGATAGCTCGAAATTGCATAATGCCGTGGGTTACATATCACTGCGTGACGACAGTTACTGTGCGCTACGCTAAGACAACGCTTCCGATGTAAGGCGCATATCATGTGCGGATCATCATCATGCCAATCATAGATTGACTGGCGTATATTGCACGGACAACCACAGCAGGAGATGAAGATGTGTCTTGCGGATACCGACACTGAATAAGACGCAGAGAGCATGTACTCAGTTGCAGAACAAGAAGTGCGGCTGAGCCCACTGGATACCGCCGGACCCGAGTTGCTACATGCGTTGCACCACTTGGTGGGACGTGTGTGCGTTGACATGTATGTGCCAGCTGGGCTGAAGTGCCAGCTATCATCGTTGCATCAACTTGATGAATTGCGTCGGGAAGTTGACTGGTCGGATCATTGTCAACTGCCTCCTCATTCATTTCCCTGAACCAAACGTGGCTGAGAAGCAGTGCGGATCAGACTCTGGTCGCAGCACGATAGATATGATGTTCGCGGCTGACCAATTGCAGAAGAAATATAATGAGCGAAACCAGCCACTACTCGTTGTTTGTCGATTTCACTAAGACATTTGAATGCCCTTGCAGTGGTATGCGGGCGAGGGTACAGTTGAGTGAATGATACTTGAATGACTTTAAGCTTGTCTCTAGTGAGAAGCATGACTGTGTCTTGGCTCTTGCCCTGTTTAATATTTACCTAACTGTCGTCATGTTTACTGTTTTCATTGCCAGTTACTATGATGTCAGACTCGAGTACCGTGTCTATAGTGAGTTGCTGAACATCCATAGTGACTCAACCATCCGGATGTTTGCACACAACGATTCTGGCTTCGACGCTAGCCACTTTCGGCCTCCCAATCAACACAAGTTAGACTGTCTGCTATGTACAGCCATCATCGGTAGTGAAATCCTTGGACCGCTCGCAAATAAATATTGCTGATGTAGTTTAGGGAACCTAGAAATTTGGCTGCATCGAGAGCAAGCTGTCAGAAGACTTACAGATTAGCCACGTACCCACCTATCAGAAGCATGTCCTGCTCTCAGCAAGTTGGAAAAGTTTTTATAGGAAACGTATCGACTTATAACTACGCTGAAGACATACCTCCCACTGATGAGTAGGAAGATTTTACGCGAAATTTAGCTGGTTCGTCCTACCCGCTCAGACACGAAAATCTAATCACCAATCCGTAAAAGCACCAGGCGATCGTTTTGCCCTATTGGGACTCATCGATGGTGCGCGCTCCCTCGTGCCCCTGCACGGAACCGAACCCATGACCGTGGGCAGCTTGCGCCAATTAGTCAGCCGCTTATGCCACTGAGCCAGGGGACGGATGCAGATCGTTGCAACTTGCAAGCTACTAGGACGAACCAGTTAAACACTCTCACTGTTGTCTATTCTACGGCAGCGAAACGTGGGTGCTACGAAGGAAAGACTTATGTGAAATAATTGCGCCGAATCCTGCGCGTTCGGTGCAGCATGTACGGTATGGATTGCATGCTCTTACTTCGACATCTTAGATGGACCGGACGTGTCTTACGTATGGATGCGACTAGAATGTCGAAACAGCTTATATATATATATATATATATATATATATATATATATATATATATATATATATATATATATATATATATATATATATATATCTTAAAACAGGGAAGCAGAAAATGGGCAATGAAAGCAGTTTCATTATAACGTGATCGAAGTGATTTTCTCCCTAACTAATGTTGACTTTAGTTGTCGGAAAGCAATGGCAGCTGATCAACTGTAGTGGCAATGTCACCTCAAGTATACCGTATCCCAGGTTTACGACGAAAGATTGTTGCACCAGGAAGAAAATCGCAGGTTACGCTAGCGTCAGATATCCACGCTGCATGGCCTCTCAATCTCATGAACCTAGGGCTTTAGCACGTCCGTGTGTGCCTCAATTTACCTGTTTAGGTAAGTCATCAACGTGATCAACGAGTGCCAATGTAGTGAGTAGGTGCAATAGGTAGTTGTCAGCGTATGATAAGCATGCAGCTTCTGATTACCTATACTAAACTAGATAGATGTGACACCTGTGCTACATCGTCGCTACAGTTGATCTGTACATTTATCTGTATGTGTATTTCCATATTTGACTGCTTTTGTTCATTGATATCCCGGGCTAGCTGTACAGGATTTGAATGCGGACATGACACCTATCAGTCTAACACCGTCCACCTTACTTACTGGCACCAGGTGACGGAGTGCACAGTCTTTGTGAACATGCTAGTCTTGGAGTGGTTCCATTTACTGTGGAACGGGCTACAGCCAAGTCACCGCATTGTGTACCTCATGTATTGATGTTTCCCACAATTCATAGCAATGATGTGCATGTTGAAGGAGTGTACGTGATTCCGAATCACTTGTGCCTTCATCCACATGCCTCCCAGCTTTATTCCTTTGGGTTGGCACTTGGATGGCATGTGCATGGAGACATATGTTGTGCAGGGCAAGCCACTCGTGGTCCCTAGGTAGGCGCGGGCGTGGTGTGGCTGTTGGCAGTCTCAGTGACAGGCACTTCCGGAATGGAATGTCACCAACAATATATATATATATATATATATATATATATATATATATATATATATATATATACTCGATTATCACGCTTACTCCTGAATCGCCTTGATTGATATATTGTATGAGTCATCAAAACATGAAAAACAATTCGATCGTGGATGCGCAAAGCGCCCATGGGAAATATGGATCCTGTCGCATTGCTTCATGCGTGTCACATGCCTCCGTTGTGTTTGCCACATAACTGTACAGCGACCAAGGTCTGGATGCCACTTTGTTGGATCAACCTGTTCCCGTGGACTATTACCTTAACGCCATCAACTATTAATATTATGAGAATCTCTCTTCCATTGCTCAAATTCATCACCATTAATGTAATTACGAGCTAGAGTCTTATCGGGGTCACTGTTTGTTGCATTGGAAATGATGCCGTCGACAACTATTGGCAGCCAAGTTTTCCGGTCCAAGCGCCCGCATCGAATTACACGACGCTCATCTGCGCGTTGAGCTATCTCGGACTCTGGTTGACCACATCACTATTTCCACATGACTTATCTCCGTCCAAGATTGTCATTCGTTTTGGAGTACTTGCCCACCTTCTGACTAAGCTGTTGCGTTCAATGTTACGAACTCTGTCGAAACAAAAATGTTATGTTGTATTCCCCCACCGGATTCCCCCACCGACTATGGCATAGCTGCTTTGGGTCGCATAGTCTCCCACTGCTAGCAGTTGTTCGGCACCAGGAAATGCACTGCGTAACTTTTGCTAGTAGAATTGTTTACTGGCAGCTCGGGTTAAGGATCAGCGGCTTCAGTCTATGGGCTGTGTCCCTATGTTTCAATAATGTACTCTTCTAGGCCACTTGAGATAATGCTGTGGTTTGTTTGCAAAGCAGATGTGGTGAAGATGTAACGCTCACACTCTTTAAAGGATCTTCGGAGTATGATGGGTTTTATTTTCTCGTGCTGTTTGACCACTTGAGGAATGAGGAACTGGCCAACAGTTAGATTCAGTTTGTTTCTCGTCTTTGGGTTCACCGGATCTGTGATATACTTATCTTTGCAACAAGGCAGAATGTTTACCCGTCTACCGATTACTATGTATCATAGCGTGTATTGCCACAACAAAGCGGACGCACTCATACACACACCCGGCAGATGACGCGAAAATAAGAGCTAAACAATGTGAAACCGTCGCAAATAGCGCTTTTTTATGCATAGTATAAACGATGCTTTGCTTTACTAATAACAGATTTTGCTAGTTTGCCATACTTTGATCTGACTCTTGGATGGCGGCTACATGGCAGTTGTGTCTAATGATTGACGTATGCCTCCACCACGTCTAGTTCGTACACTCAACAAACGGCGTCATATATGGCTTACTTGAGTCCCCATCATTCTGTCTATGTCCACAATTATTTGCATCCTTTCCTGTGAGCACACATTTTATTTTCCAAGATTAATAACGTTTCCTATTCTGGAGACTTGTTATTAAACTCTTCTCTCCCTACAGACCCTCCATTAGTTATCTTGTTTGCTTTTCTGTTTGTTAAAAAGCCAAAACTGCACGTGGGGTGCCGAAGCAAAACACCGATTCTTCGAGCGACGCGTCGCCTATCAGCACTGATCTCTACATGGCTGGTCTAGCATGGCGCCGTGAGCGTCGTCGTGCTAAACTAGCTACGCAGATTCTCTTATGCATGCGGAAATTGGCATTTCGCTTCAGAGTCAATGCTTATAAAGCATCCTCATTGCAACCGTGCGTCAAACTGCGCCGTATTGATTCGGTTGATGAGGTCGATTTAGATGCCGGTTCTGTGGATGCTGTTGATACAACTACGTCCGGAGACATGGGTGTTCCAAGTCCCTTAGAGAGAGCAATCCAGTCAGCATTGGATAAGGTGGTCGAGGTAAGTACAATATACGGACTACTGTTTGCGTACCAACTATTTCTTTTTATCACAGATGTTCCCTACCGGCTCCCATGAGCTTCATGTTTTGCCCTTGTTCTATTTTCTATGGCCACCTTTTGATCATTGAATGGCCTTTCTTCTTTGTCACACTTATTTCTATTATCTTAATGTGTGATAATGTTTTTTAAAGTAATTCACGATGTCTGTATTTGAGGGTTATCACTGACTAACTGTTAAAGCCTACTGCTCCATCTTCTGCTTGCTATTCTTCGTAATAACAATATGTATATTCCCCAGAAACATGACACCTGGTCCCAATTTTCATGTGCAGGTCTCATTCAGTGTTGTTATTGCAACTTAGATGTTCATCAATGACGAGGAATTTCGGTTCAGTTTGATCCCAGGTATCAAGCGGATATTTCCTCCGAAAGCGCGTCGTTCCTTGGTGACATTCATCTCATATGACGCCGGAGAATTTTCGATATCGAAATTTGTTAACTGAAGAAACATACTCAATCTGGGTGGCTTATAAATCAAGCGTTTTATAGAGGATTGTACAAAAAGCGTGAACTTGGGAGTACAACTGACTTGTGGATGATGTGACAGAATTCTAGTGTTCATGTTTACAAAGCATCTAATTTGTGTGAAGCTCTGTCGCACATTACCGCAAGCTGACCAACGAGAAATATTTCACCACGTACGGTATAAGTCTTCGTTGGAAGTGACGTTCGCGACTAGTGGATGTCGCATAACTCGATTCTTCGACGACAAACGGTTTATTCGACAAAGCAAGCTCTGCAAAAATATCATCACGCTTAGGTTGTAGAAGCCGCAATATATATAACTAAGTCAATTCCGTAACTAGCGGCGTTGCTGCATCCCTTTGAATCAGTCAAGTAAACTTCCTCTAGCTCTGCCAAGAACGAACCAATCAGCGTGTTGGCGAAGACGCGTAGGCGTCTACTCACGTACTTCATTCGCTTGTGGCAAGCTAGCCGCTTACTTTGTCATGTAAATCCGTATCGTTTGCATAATCCCACCCCAGCCGCATCGATGTGACTGAAGAGTCCTTACACTCCCACTTCGCATGATCTTTGTGGCCCCTGTCGTTGTAACCTCACCGAAAGGCGCTGTGTGCCTTGCTTCAGGTTCGCTTCCTCGTCCCTGGTGTCTCCTAAGCTGTACTCGATTCCTTCTGGTTATCTTCCCCCTAGTATTGACTTCATAGAGTTTTTCCCCGACCTTCGCAGTCCCCACACCTTTCTTCCATCGCTCCTCGACACCCGGTATTGGTTGAATCCGCACTTCCTCGTTTACTGCTGACTCAGGTATCGCCCGGGCACCGCGATCGTAATAGCGTTTCTGATGGGCCATCCGTTTTCTTAAATTCCTTTGCAGTTGCGACGGTAAAACCGGGTGTAGAAGTGCAGCCGTCGCAGGCACTAGCGTTCTTGTCCTGCTGTACAGACCTTGAACTGGGCTGAGACCCGTTTGGTGATAGAGTGTTGCGAATTTCTAACAGCATCAGATATGCATCCTCATGGGTGGCTCTAACCTTCGACAACAGCTTCTGGGCTTGTTTGACACCGCCTCCGTTTTTCCGTTAGACTGACTGGTTTGCCGATGCTAAAATTCCCACTTGTTTGCGATGGTTTGGACGGAGCACTTGTGAAGTGCCGGCCATTGTCTGATATCAGTTTCTCCGGTATTCCATGTCTGGCGAACTGACATCTAAGCTTATTGAGGACTACCTCCGTCGTGGTAGCGGTGAGTGGCTCGATCTCGAAGTAGTCGCTGCAGTAGTCCACTATGATTAACTAGTCTTTCACGTTGTCGCAGAACAAGTCACCTGCTACTTTCTGTCATGCTCGATCTGGAATCTCACGCAACATCATAGGTTCTCTGGCTTTGCGAGCCTTGGGAGACCGGCAGGCTAAACAGCTTGATACTTGATCCCGAATTTGACTTGTCATCCCAGGCCAGAACATCAGTTCGCGTGTTCTGCTACGGCTATAGTTAACACCCAATTGGGTTCGATGGGCGCGTTCTAGCAACTCTTTGCAAAGCGACTGCAGGGTAAAAGCGCGATTTCTTTTGAACAACAAACAGTCCTGCACCTTGAGTTAATCCCGAAAGTTGAAGAATGGCGTTAATTTCTTCCGGAGGTTGTTCTTTCTAACTAGCCATCCGCTCGCAACGCCTTGCAAGTCGCGTCTGCTTCGGTATGACTTATTTTTTCAGTTGATTTGCCGTCTTCGCCAGATGCTGTACCAGGTTTACTGTTATGATTACTTCTTGCTGGTGTTCGACTGTCGGAAGGTGGGCTCTCGACACAGCATCCGCGATGAACATCTGCGTCCCCGTGTGTACACAAGATCCATGTCGTATTTTTGGAGCCGGATAAGCATTCATTGAAGACGTCGAGGGACACTGTGCAACGGGTTACTGGCTATTGCTAATGAGCGGTTTACGGTCAGTATACAGGGTTGTCTTCCTCCTACAAATGTAATCGTTGAATCGCTGCATCGCGTAGACAACAGCCAGCATCTCCTTTTCGATCTGCGCATAGGGATGTTCCGCCACTGCGAGCGCCCCACTGCGAAAATCCAAGGTCTAACCATCCTGTATTATAACGACGCCTATTCCGCTGTGACTGCTGTCACACTGCGCCTCCAAAGGCAGAGCTGGATCGTAGTAGCCGGGTACTGGTACACAGCTGATAAGATGCTTGCTGGTTGTAAAGGCGGCCTCCTACTCTTTTCCCTAACTCCACCTTACACCTTTGTGTGTCAGCCTCCGAATGGGCGTCATGATTTCAGTTAGCGTTGGTAAGAACCGGCTGTAATAATTCACCATGCCATTTAAACGACTAATACCCTTGACATCCTCAGCTTGTCGCAACTCCCGCACTACCTTGATTTTCTCGGGATTGATCTTAATTCGCTCGGATGTCAGTACGTGCCTCTAAAATACACTTCGATTTCCGGAGCTCAACTTTCTCATCTTTGAGCCTTGTTTTCTTGTGAACTTAACGCTGCAAAAGTGGTGCAGGTTAGCATCATGTTCCTTGTCGATCGAGCCGTCAGTCAGCGCCGTTTGCTACACATGTTACACCGTCTAGGTCGTCAACAGCTTGCAATAACCGCTTCTGAAAATTTTCGCTCGAGATCTTCAAACCAAATGGTAAACGTAGCAATCGAAAACGCCCGAAGAGTGTGGCAACCCTCGTCAGGAAACTGGGTTCCTCATCTAGCATCACGTGCCAGAACGCCGACGAGAACTCAACCTTGGTAAAGTACTTTGCCTTAGCCAAACGCGGTGGGGCATCCTCTATCGTTGGAAGCGTGTAGTGTAAAGCTTAGCTTTCGGATGACTTTCCAGATCGGCTGGGTCTTCGTCCTTTTCGTACTGCATCATTTCCGGCACGCGGCTTGCCTCATCTCGTATGGTATGTCGGAACATCGCCAGGTGAAATGCCGTCAGTTCCTCATTCAGATGCACCAGTACGCGAAAATCGATCCACTTGCCTTTCCAGATTCTCCAACTATTGGCCAAGTTGTGCTCTTCCCTGGTCAACGGGGTAGGTGTTTGCACAGCGGGCTGCGCTCCAATCAGCAACTTAGCACCCTTCGGCGACCTTATTTTGGTCTTCTCTGACACAATATCACAGAACTCGGTCCTTCATGGGCAAACGGTTTATTCGACAAAGCAAGCTCAGCGAAAATTGCAGCATGCTTAGGTTGTAGAAGCGTCGATATGTATAACTAGGTCAATTCCGTAACTAACGGCGTTGCTGCATTCATAAGATTTTTCCTTTAAATCAATCAAACAAACTTACTCCTGCTCTGCCAAGTACGAACCAATCAGCGACGGTGCGTAGGCGTTCAATCACGTGCTTCGTTCGCTTGTGGCAAGCTAGCCGCTTACTTCGTCATGTAAATTCCTATCGTCCTTCTGCTTGCATAATCCCATCACAGTGGGCACGGGGCTGTTTCTGTTTAGCCAACTTCTGCTTGGTCTCAGATTGATTACATTGTCATCACCGGTTTGGAAGCTTAAGTATCATGAGCATGCCTTGTAATCTAAGGGCGCTAATTAGAGCCTGCTTAGGGGCCGGCGACCTTTGCAGTATCCTTAGCGCACCGGTGACTGTTCGTAGTTGCGCGGCAGTGAAGCGCGGACACTGCTGACGCTCTCACGGCACCAAATATGGGATGCCGAATACGCTGATTGCTGACGTACTGTTTTCACCAGATATATGCTAAGCTGCGAGGGCAGCAATGATCGAGCGTCTTTATATCTGTCGACTTGATGGGCCGGGTTTCACAACCGTACAGTAGGGTTGAACGGACGGCTGCATTGTGAACTCTATCCTTCAGGAGAGGTGATATCTCGCTTACACCACAGGTGGCGGCGATTGGCGGATGCGTTTCGAGCTTTGCTATGTGGTCTTCATCATCATCTTTCAATCCACTGAACGATTTCTGCTTGATCAACACCAAGAGTCTGTGTTGGGGTGGGTACCTACCAATCTTGGAGAATGAGTTTGCATTTCGATGTTGCAAAGCACATCCCGAAGCGGCAGACAGTCAATGCTCATTTGTCCAGTGCTACATTACACTTTTGGTAGCTGTCTAATATAAGAGCAATGTCATCGACGTACTCCAAGTCAGGAAATCGATCACCTGCGAGGAGCTCGACTCCTTGTAGGCCGTGTCTGGTGTACGTAGTCTCTATGACTTTGTCGATGGAGAAATTAAAGGAAAGGTGACAGCGAGCAATCTCGTCTCACACCGCTGGTGATATTGTTGGTCGACGACCGTTTACCGTAATCGTTCACTCTTCCCTTAAAACGCTCTGATGATGTTTACTTTTTTCGGACGCACTTCTCCTAAGTAGACAGTCCCATAGGGCACATTGATCAACCGACTCGAGTGCAAATTTGATGTCGAAGAACACGACAACCATAGGCGGTCAATATATGTGAAGGTGTTCCA